TGTGTTCATCCAGCCCTGCACCTTGTTGTCTCAGATTCTCCAGCATCTGCAGTTCCTACTATCTCTGATTCAACTGTTCCCCCTCATTTACTTTTGCACTCATGGTAAGGTTGCCACAGGGCCAGACAACATATTATGTCCCCTCGAAGTATGTTCCATTGTCAATGCCACATTTGCAGTCCACTCTGCAGGCCTGCCTCCACGTTGCCCGATAAAAGAATTTTAAAAATCCAGTATCAGAAGCACCAGAGTTCACTCCGGAGTAAAGACAATTAGAAATTTGACAGCTTCTGACCCTCCAACCACCCAATCAAACCTTTTGTTATTATAAAATGGTCTAATCCTGGTTCGAAGAACATCACAGACGTCCTTCAAAGTCACAAACACACAATGAACAATTTGCACTGCTTTCCCTCACATCACGTAAATGGGAGAAGAAAAACAAAGTTACACAATTCCATAAAATATGTACACTATTTAGACATGACAGGCTCAAACCATGAAGAAAGGCTCAAAACCACAATACAGGGCCCTTTAAAATTCTAACAAAATCAAGATGGATCGCCAGCTCCATTTATGTTTGATACAGAATGACGTAAATATTAGTTTCTTAGCTGCAAAGACTTAGGATTGCCCCCATAAAAACAGGAAAACAGAATATCCACCATATTTATGACCAAGTTAACTGAACTGATTCCATTCCATGTTCCACTCCTCCAAGTCAGCAAAATCTGAATTCAAAAAGGCAGGTGATAGTACCTAATCTATTGTACCAGACTACATATAGCTCAACAACAGAAACAAGCCAACAAGGTTGCTTTGGTTAACATATAAAGAACTAAATGATTACTGAAAACAAACACTTAAATGAATCAAAGATCATTAACAAAAGATTTAAAGTGTTTAAACATGTCTGACTACCTTTCTTCGAAACACAACAGACACACACAGACAGACAGACACAGAAACCACTCTGCAAAGTTTTCTGTAAAGTACTTTGGTAAGTAATGATTACATGCAGGGAAAAAAAGAAGTGTCTTAATTCTTAGACTGTTTGGGGTCTGCAGCTTCTAAGAGACCAAATATTTTCCATTATTTGAGGGCTACAAGCTGAATGGAACAAAACTAGAAATTGCTGGAAAAGTTCAGCAGGTCCGACAGCAATCAAAGTTAACTTTTCAGGTCGAGTGACCCTTCCTCAAACCTCTTAAACTGAGATGGAAGTTGGCCTGCTATAACTGGAATACCTGGAAAGTTTAGCAACTTGAAAATCAAGTGTTGCATTTACAGTATTGCAGAGATGTTGTTCTTTGAAACAGTAAGAGGAAGAATACAAGACTAAGTAGCATTGAGAGTCAGAGATAGTAGGAACTGCAGATGCTGGAGAATCAGAGACAACAAGGTGCAGAGCTAGATGGACACAGCAGGCCAAGCAGCACCATAGGAGCAGAAAGGCTGACGTTTCGGGCCTAGACCCTTCATCAGAAAAGGAGGAGGGGAAGGGGGTTCTGAAATAAAGACTCTACCAGATAAAAGCCCTTTGAGCTGTGCAGTGTTGCAAGCAGTAAATGCCAAGAGCTGCAAAATATCCAGGAAGTGTGGAAAAAAAATCCAGAGCCTGCAAGCGAAAACATCTTTCTTCTTGTCAGGAAAAAAAAACAGAAAAACCAAAAAAGCTTTAAAAGAAAGAATTCCTAAGAGAGCAAATGTAATCCCACCTGATCCACTGAGTAATCAAGTACTACCATTTTTGGTGGTGTCTTGGGAATTTTATACATTACATGATGGCTTGGGAACAGTGGGACACAATTATCAGTGCACTCTTCCCAATTAAGTTGTAATAAGCCAAAGCAACGTTCCACACAAGCTGTCAGCATTAGAGTCTCTTGTACCAGATATGTCTGGTTGAATTCTCTTTTTCTGGAGACAGTGCTGTAGATTCAGCCTTCTCCTTCAACAGCCACCCACTTGCAATGATGAAGACTTCCAGCAGGTTTTCAATTCAAGCTTGTTGAGCAGGGATTCAGGGAGAGAGCATACATGCTAAAGAGAAAAAAAAAAGGCTATTCCCCCTCTGGCAAATTGTCTCGGTGTTCAAGACTAATTTTTTTATGGACATACACAAACTTGGTAGCACGGTCCCTCTCAAAGTGTCGCAGACTATGCATCTCCAACTAAGCAGGCTTCCCTTTGTTAATGCAACACTGCAAATCAAAGTAAACTGGCTACAGCAGCAAAGCGTTATTTGCAAATAATTCAAAATCAATGTGATGCAGTGGTAATGCCCCTATCCCTGGAATGGGAGGCCTGGGCTCACCTCCCACTTGCTCCAGAGATACGTAATAACATCTCTGAACAGGGGGATCAGAAAAATGGATTAAAATTTTGGATCACACATCTCTGTAACAATAAACAGTTTACCATATAGAATCAGTCTGATGGACCCAACTGGTCTCTGCTGCTCATTCATTCATCAACCTCTTTACCAATATTCCCTTCCTGTCTTCCCTCTTGTATGTGCCTTTTTAAATTTTGCCTTAAATATACCAATTTTATTTGCCCCAGAACAAGTTGCACATTCTCCGAGAGAAAGAAATTCCTCCTGAGCTCCTTACTAGAGACTTAATTGCGACGACATTTTTCTAAATTAATTCACGGGATTTGGGTCTCACTGGCTAGGCCAGCATTCTATCAACCATCCGTAATTGCCCAGAAAGAGTCACCCACATTGCTAAGGGTCTGGAGTCACATGTAGGCCAGCCCAGGTAAGAACAACAATTTCCTTCCCTAAAAAGGACATTACTGAGCCAGATAGATTTTTCTGGCAGTCAGGAGCTGTTTCATGGCCATTATTAGAATCTTAATTCCAGCTTCTTCTTAAAACGGAATTCAAATTCCATCATCTGCCGATTTGGGATTTGAACCTGGGTCACCAAATTAATAGTCTAGCAATAATACTAGACCATTGCCTCCCCTAAAACCTCACAACTCTTCATTTTAGACACCTCAAGCTACCTACCAAATCCTTTGTTCACTTTAAAAAGCCAGTTCTGTCACCAGAGCCTTCTCCTCCACTACTCTTACTTTACGACATCGACTTTCTTCACTGGAGAGTAGGCGATTGAGGTTTCTCAAATCATGAGAGGTACAGATAAAAAGGTGAATACCAGGTATCTTTTCCCTAGGGTTAGGGATTTCAAGACTAGGGGTCATATTTTTAAAAAGGTAAGAGGAGAAAGATTTTAAAACAAAAAAAAGAGACATGGGACATTTTCTCCCCCCCTCCCCCGCCACACTGATGGTTTATTGTGGAATGAACTTCCAGATGAAGTGGTGGATGCAGGTACAGTTATAGCATTTAAAAGAATTTTGGATAAGTACAAGAATAGGAAATGTTTGGAGGTAATTTGGG